GAGCTATTTTGGGAGCATTAGGATGAGGGAGGAATATCGATGTACGTGAGAAGGGATGGGGTGTTTGGTTGGGCTGACGGGGACGCAAAGTCGAAGGTGGCGGTGCGTTTCGGCCTGAAGGAGAGTTCTCTGCTGATGGTGTACCCAGACTCAGTGCTGACGAAGCGACGGGGGTAGGTGAAGCACCAGATGTTGGTGTAGGTGATGATCCTGGCGTAAGTGCTGCAGGTGCCCGAGGCATAAGCGCAGATGGCACAGCTGTCGTCGATGGCAAGAGCGACACTGGAATAACAGTATGTCCTGTGGAAACGGTCCCAGCCTCGCTCAATATAAACGACGTATCGCCTTCAACACGTGCATCCTTGTCCACTACAGGATGATCTTCATCGTCGTCATCCATCACAAGGTGCATCCCGAGACCAACGCGCTGCTCATGCCCACTCTCCGTACGCGTGCGCCGTGCAGACACGACACTAGACCCATCTGTAGACGAAACAAGTGACCGCAGACTCCCTGCATTTGACCGCAGCCCTCGCGACTTACGAGACGTTTGTCCATCATCCGACTCGGAATACCCAGATGACTGCATTTCTGTTTCCTCCGTGTAGCCCGAATGTCGTTCGTTAGCACCAAACGACGCATAAAGCAAGGGAGACACCGGATTTATCGCATGTGAGAGAGACTTTTCCCCTCCCAAACCCGAACCCAAACCTTCACCCTTGTCCTCCATATCCGTGCTCATCACTCGCAGCCTGCTAGGCACCCTAGTCGGGACTTGGGGAAACTGTGCGCTGAGTGGAGACAATGCCTGCACCGAATAGGTTGAGGGCGTGCGCGTGGATTCGTGGCCTGCAGAGAGCTGGCGTGCAACGGGCGGGCGCAGGCGCACCTCTGGGCCGTCGACAGGGCCATGAAGTGTATGCTCCAGGGAAACAGGTGAACCACGATCTACAGAAGACAATGACTCGAAAGAAGGTCGTGAGGACATGGAGGCGGTCGCATGGGTGTGCGTGGATTGGATGTTGGCCTGGTCTGGCTGGCTTGGACTTGAAGTACTTGAAACGCTAGGCCGTCCGCTTGAGACGCTGGGCCGTCCACTCGAGACGCTAGGACGTGATAATACATCGAAGCTGAGCCTGTCTGGTGAGAAGCTCGGTATGGGAGGGACCTTGCCACCACCCGAGAGAGCGGACATGCGTGCTTTCGACTTTACGGAGATTGTGGACATGCGCTTAGACGAGAAGCTTTGGCGGGAGTAGCGGTAGTCGTCGTATATGTCGGATGCACAAGCCCAGTAGCCCTCTTCTTCTTCATCTTCCTTATCCTCATCTTCTTCGTCTTTGTCTTCACCCATCTCACCTTCCCTCTCTAGGTGCTGTCCTGGCTCGTCGACCTGCGTCATGGCGTCGTCTTGCATAGTCGCTGTCTCGAACGATGCATGCGGCGCATTACTGTTCACCTCATGCTCAACTGTCGGGGACGCAGAAATAGAAGGCGTATACTTGGTCCATGGAATGGGTGTACTTCCACCTGTCGCAGTACTCTCCTCCGCTCTATCACCCAAATCATGTTTTCCTGCTCCTACCTCCAGCCGTGGTTGATCACCATAACTATTTGTAATTTCATCCTCCTCCTCATCTTCATCATCCATCCCAAGTGCTCCAAGCAAGCTCAACCCAATGCCTGTCTCCCCGTCTTCCTCTTCCTCCGCGCCCTCCAGATGGCGGTGCAGAGCAGAAAACTGCGTGCTCTCACCGTATTCATGATCATGGTCATCATTAAGATATAGCGAAGAATCGTCTGCGTCCGAGTTCGATTCTGGTGCTGACGACGCAGTGGACGGTGAGGATGGCGGAGACTGCGGTATTTCTGGTGGTGGTGGAGGGAGAGGCGAGCGTGGTGGACTGCCCTTTGCGGGGAGCGTGAAAGATGGTGAGCGTGATGGGAGAGGTGAGTAAGCGCGTGAAGTTGTTCCCGATCCAGGTGATGGAAGCAAAGGCGACAGTGGCGGTAGTATCGGGCTCGCTGTGAGTCGCGGCGACTTGCTGAGGCGCAGCGGAGCCACAGTCAGCCCTTTCGTTGCATTGGTCACGAAATTGGTGGAAGACGACGACGAATTTGAAGTGGGAGCTGAGGTCAAGGAGCCGTACGTCGTGCTTGAATTCAGAAAGATTCCTGTCATGGACTCAGAAGCTGATGTAGAAATGGAACCTGACGTGGACTGAGACATCGAAGGTGAATGATTCGACAGAGATTGAAGGAGCTTCTCCACAGATCCTGCAGAGGAAATGTGTGTTGAGCCCAAAGAAGGGATCGATTGCGCACTCGAGGTAGCTGGAGTGGAGTTTGATGAAGACGTTGGTATTGAATCCATTGATGAAGACGAGGTAGGCACTGATTTTGTGCTCGACGAAGCCTGCACTGAACCAGATGAAGATGACGGCACCACTCGGCTCGACAAAAACGAATCCTCGCTATTACGCCACCCATCGCCATCGGAGAACGTAGTCGAGGCAGCACTTGACGTTGATACAACTGAGTACACAGATGACCCAGACACAGACGCTGTCAACTCGTGTGCACGCCCCCTCGTTCGCTCATATTCCCTCAAGCGCTCAGGGGAGGACGAATATGGATATATATCAGGTGAGAGTGGCTTCCGTCTGACTGGGGAGCCTCCGGGACGTGAGTCTGAAACACTGTCGGCTCTTGCCACTGAACTTCCGGGACGATTCGCATTAGAACTGCCTGCCCTTGTGACGCTGGAGTTCTCGGGCCAGGACGGTGATGCCCGTTCAAGTGACATGGGACGTGTATCGGCAACACCAAGGGATCCTCGTTTTGCCATGATAGGTCGCTTGAGTTTCCCGTGAAATTTCACGTCTGCGCCAGAGAAACGTCCCACAACACCTTCGCAGAAGCCCTGGTGGTGAATCGATGTTAGTGGTGTGTTGACCCAAAGGACAGAGTCAAATGAATGAATATGACAAGGCAAAGATTCAAAAGGAAGTATTAAGAACGTGGAAGATGCGTAGAAAATATGGTAAAGGTACAAGGGGAGACATCACAGGAACATCACAGAGAAGATCACGCACCAAGTAATACCCAGATTCAGGAAGCTGCATCAACACGGTGATTTCATCGTCCTAGGGGCGATAGATATTAGCATTTTGAAAAAAAAAAGGATTCCACAGAGACAACGATCCTAAGACTAAGAGAGGTGCTCCCTCACGGCCCCATTCTCGAACAATGGTAATATGAGATTATGTCTCGGTCAAAATTATCTTGACTCCTGGCTGAAACTGAACCCAACTGCGTCCTCAACCAAACGGCCAGAATACTACAAGAGAACGAACCGCTGAACTCAAACACTCACTTTGAGAAACATAAGATCACCAATTTCCCTTGCGACACAATCTACGGTTGCTGTACACCGCCCAACACCTCCCTTGGCAGCGAAGCGTGTCCAGCGGGCAAGTTCCTGGGCAGCCATATGCTGCCAGTTGGTGCTTCTTGTGATGGGTACGATGAATATGAGAGAATTTTTCAGGTGGAGCGACACAAACGTATTGGTTGATGTGTGGAGCCAGTGTCACGTTCTCGGGTATGCAATTGAGTTTGTTTAGTGGTTATATAAGGATACCACGGATATCGGTCAAACGAAATTGCAGTCGTAGATGATCGTAAACTGTTAAAACAAAGAGAAAGGAGTGAGTATATGTTTTTGTCACGGGTCGGCCTGTCAAGAATCAAGATCAGAAGACAGGGCAGGCACAGATCTGTGGAACATCACAATCATAGACCTCTTCCCCTGAAACGAATGCGGGAGCACACGTGGTAGAACGCACGCTCGTGGAACTCACCTGTGAATTGACTGTGCTCAACGTCGCCGGAGCTCTCCTCGCTGCAGTGCACAACCGTGACGCTGAAAAAGAGTTTGATTCTACTTAAATGAGATTATATAAGCACTATGTTGTCCATAAAAGTACTAATAGTATTAGTAATCAAAATACGTACGAAACCGAAACTTCTGTGCGTGCCTGCCAGTGCACTGCGCCGGCCAGTGCTCGATAACGTTCTCGTTGTCTCGTGCAGTCGTCATCTTTGAAGCAACAGCGTGGTGCGTAGTTGCGGCTGTAGCTAGCTGTCGTTACTATTATTCAAAGGTTCAACGTGAGTTCCAAGTATCGACGCATCTGTTGCAGTTTTTGTTTAGTAACCGAACATGATGAATAGCCGACAATGCGGTACCGCATAACGCAAGTTTTAACTTGCAGTTCCATATGAAGGGGTATATGCAACAGCAGTGTCAACTTCCATCAGTGATAGATTTAGTTCACATCGCAGTACACACTTGATTGGCTGCAGCCTGCCCCCCTTTGATTTTCCTACTAAACAATCTCATTAGTACTCCCTGCTTTTACCTCCTTTGATGTTTGCAAGGTTCGAATTTCGCGTGCATTTATTATAACTCGACATCTTCCCTATGGTTTGTCTAGGGAGGACTACAAACGAGCATTGCTTTTTTCTATAAAAGTTCGATCAACAACTTGGTCCTTCCCATTGTTCCCAATATACATTCCTCAATCGATCATTTTCAGTGATAGTTGCTAGTATGCTTCTTGTCGGCGTTCACAAGACTGCCGAGCGGACTAGATACTCCCAAATGTTGTACCCAAAACTACAGTGCATCCTAGGATCATACACAAAGGGCATGAGTCAGGTAAAATCGGAAAAGATTAGTCTTCAATGTTGTCTACTTCAACGTGTACCCAGACCTTGGAAGCATTGTAATCAGTAGGCATTCAAGTTGTCAAGCCTCATCTCAGACGCTTGTCTCCCAAGATACCTATATTGGTCGAACAGATTTAGTCCACTCCTCCTTTTGCTAGTGAACATCGAACAGGCGTAACGTGGTGTGTCGTCTATGTCAAAATTATTCGGTCCGCTCAGCTGGGTGCTACCGATCAGCCTAGAAACTGGGAGCTGTCGGAAGGCTGGTGGGGTGCAAATCAATTCAAAATGGAATGTTACTTTTTTGAATCAAGAGTTATTGAAAATGAGAAAAGTGCGAAACAAGTAGAGGGATCCGCTCAACTTGCAAGTAAAATCGAAGACATGCTGCGTTTAATTTACCCAAAAAAGTGAGATAAGTGAGACAACAGTGAACTCGACATTCGCTGATGATAAAATTGTCATGATCCCACCCACATCGTCCACCCATAGTTTGAACCAAAGACTGGCACAGCAGACTCCAAGTAAAGTTCCTGCCGCAATCTGTGGCCATGTGTGATGGCCCAGCCGGACCCTTGACATAACTATCATGCATGTCCATGGTAAGACAACCACTGGGGCGAACATAGCGAAACGAGGGAAGGCAGAGTGGATAGGTAGCTCAAGGCAAGCAAAGGTAATATATACAGCGAAGAAGGTGCATGTAGATGCGTGTGCGCTAGGCATCCTGTGTTGACGATGTAATCAGAGTCTGTATGCAGTAATGTAAGTGGATCGAGTTTCCGCACCCATATGACACTTGACGCCTAGAGAACTGTGATGGGCGCTCTTGTCGTATTGCCTTCTTGATGACCTTAGCAATTTTTGAACATAACAATGCGCCGGTCACAAAAAAAGCGACTCCTGCAGAGCGGGTATAGAGAAGAGCAGCTGCAGTCAACACAGTCACGACTTTGGACGTCTGTAGAACGGATTCAGCACTTGTTCTCTGTTCTAAAAGCAGGTGCATACTTCGTCTAGAAACTTGAGCCATAGTGGTAACGCTGCTCCCATGGCGATGTCGGCTTGACGCGAAAAGGGAGTAAACAGCGAACTCTCCGTTTAGAACATGTTCAGCTCTCTTATTGATATAAGAGTCACTGCGTGCGTGACGGTCATTCGTAGTATTTAATCATCAACTTGACTCACGAACAGCGAAAACAGACGTCACCATGATGACGGGAGCTTCAAGTGAAGTAAGTGAATTATTAGCGAAAATCTGAAAGCGGCGCTCTACCTTTCTATATGACATCACCGTTCGAATAACTTCACTCGTGGTGTAATATCATTGGGACAGGATGTACATGATTTTGACAGAAGGCCACGTAGTATCTCTGTACTAATTCTGATCAGCGATGAGATCAATATGGGGCCCACAAGAAATGGGACAGAGCGCATTGTGCATTTGCGGATTGCTGGTGGGCTCCGATTGGTGTGTTGCTATAGGTTTAGTAGTGGTCCATTTTATGGGGCGTCTCTGATGTGACTAGAGTTGTTGCAATAGAAGAAGTCACTCAGGCTGATGTCATCCTGCAGTTCGGTTTTGTGGACCGGTCCGCGGGGCCCCAGGTCCGACGGAAAGGCTCGGTCTATTAGTCTACGTAGTGCGCGCCAAGTCCGAGATTACGGGAAGTTTGACAAACATTTTGCAGTAGCGCAAACCACGGTCTGCTAGTATCAGCTCACGGGATTCGACATAGTGGTAGCTTGCGCCGACCCTCCAGTCGAGATCCGTGCCTCTGTTTTCTTTCTTTCGCGCTCGCCAGCTGCTGCTCCCTCTCTTCAACCCGGATAAATGGGATGTGCCATTTCGCTCACAGCGGCTCACTCCTTTTCAATCTCATGCGTAGACTCCTCGCGTTGTACCAGTTGAACCATTTGTCTGATGCGCTCAGCGTTGGCGTACGTTCAATCAAGCCTTGGCACGCGGTATGAACTGATTAGTGCCTGCCCGCGCATCACATGCAGCTCACCTCAGTGACCTCACATTACACACATAGTAGCTCAGGATACTATACCTGTCTTGTTTCCAGATGTCGCTTCTCCCTTCATCCAGTCGCTAAACTACAAAAACATGGATAGACGTGGTTGCTTTGATTTTCTCTGACGGACTGCGCCATTTTTGCATAAAGTGAAGTCCAGGTCACCAGCGATACCATTGGCAATGAATGTGTTGGCACACTCGTAACACGTTGTCCACAGTGTCGTCACGATTATGATTGTTCCATTTGTGTGGTAGTATTCATCAGTACTGCCGACGTGGCCGTGTTCGTGGCTTTCCCCAACGTTTTTAGCTTTCCCTTGCTGATTCGTCATATAGATGATCCGCCAAGCGATGAAAAAGAAGTGTACTTGTGCATCAGCGTCTCGCTACTGACCTAAGTCGGTGATGAGGAGCATCCCGCACTGGAAGCAGGCGTCTGAAAGACATCGACGTTTCAGAGACACGAGTGAAGGATTTACTGGAATGAGATCATCCTCGAAGGTTGTTCGAACGTGGTTTCGAGACCAATAAACCGGAAATGTGATGCAATTTTCGAATTTTCATTTTGAGGCACGTGGGTGGCCTCGATCAATTTCAGACGTTCAGTTGTGACAATTGGTTTGCCAAGCTGCCATTCAATAATCCTGAACCTTCCTGACTCATTATATGAACCGGTAGATCCGTCCACATCATAGTATGGGGTGTGGTGTGGAGCAGCCAATAATTTTCGGCCACTGCACAATTTGAAGTTGATGACGCGGCTAATTGCAAGTGACAGTGTAAGCTGAACACTTACTACTTAAAGTGATGTGATGCTAAACTCATGCTAGAACGAGAGAATGCTCCTTGATCGATACCAAATGAAGAAGTATATAAAGTCGGACGTCCGCCGTCAACATACTACACAACTTTCACAGTCGATCATTCTGATACCTCACAATGGCAGAACCTGATTTCGACACGGTTCATGACATCATCGCTCAAGCTGCCAACCGCTATCCATTACACGAGATTTCTTTCATAACCTCCTCCGCACATGACTCCTCCATTCAGACAAAGACTTTCAGCGCATTCAACCAATATGTTCGTAACCTTGCACGCGCAATGCTCGAGTGGGGAAAGCCTACTGGCTCAATTATTGTTGTATACCTTACCGAACACGAAGAAAATATGGCTACCATCTGGGCTTGTCTCATGGCTGGCTATATCCCCTGCTTACAGCCCGTACTCAGTGCACAACAGGCGCACAAGGAGGCACATGTTGCTCACATCAAGAACCTGTTTGAATCTGCAATTTGGCTCACCAACGAGCTTGGTGCTGAACAGATCAGTTCCATTGACGGTCTGGAGGTTCACTTGTTCTCTGACCTGAAAGCTTCAGCAGAGACGTTCGCGGTCCCAGCTGACTGGGTTGCCTCCGAACCTAAGCCCGATGATCACGCAATGCTCTTCCTGACTTCAGGTTCGACCGGGTTCTCAAAGGTGGTCGTGCACACGCACCGTACCATTATTGCTGCTTGCCGTGCCAAGGAGCTACGCTTTGGCCCGCCTTCTGAGTCTCGAGTCTTGAACTGTAAGACAACCATCGTTAGAGCTTCTAGAATTAACTATGGCCGTCAGGGGTAGGATTTGATCACGTCGCAGGGTCTTTGGAAATGCACGTTACACCTCTCCTATATGGTGCTTCGCAGGTCCATGTGCATGCATCTGTTATTTTGTCCGATTCCGTTCGCATGCTTCGTCTGATCGATGAAAATGTATGTCTCAATTCAGTCGTGGCTTCTACTTATCGATTCATCGTGCTTCTTTTTCAGTCCATTGGTCTAGCTTTCGCACCAAACTTTCTGCTAGCCAAGCTCACTCGCGATCTTGAAAAGCGTACTGACCTTTTCGGATCTTTCGACCTATCCTCCATCAAGCGGATCATCAGCGGAGGTGAAGCAGTGGTTTCGAAGACCGCAAAAACCTTCGCTGCTACCATGAAAAAGCTTAGCAAGAACCCCTCCGCAGTGTCCTTCATAGTCTCTGCTGGATTTGGAATGACAGAAACTTGGTATGAATCTTTATACAACATCGATACATCTGAGTTGACCAGTCTTGCAGCGGTGGCTGCATTTTTGATCCAGTCGATATCTTTACAACCAAACCTACTCGCGAGTTCCTTGACCTTGGACGTCCCGTTATTGGTTGCGAAATGCGCATCGTTGACCCTGTCGATGGCATTACTCCGCGCCCAGATGGCGAGAGCGGTGAGCTTCAGGTTCGCGGACCGATGCTTTTTGTATGCTACTACAAAAACCCCGAGGCTACGTCCTCCAGCTTTATCGAGGGTGGCTGGTACCGCACTGGTGATGTAGGCATCATAGAAGGTGGCTCTATGCGCCTTATCGGTCGCATCAAGGACACCGTCATCATCCATGGTGTCACATATGGTATCCCCGAGCTTGAAACTCATCTCCAGACTTTGGAAGGCGTCACGCACTCCTTCCTCGCTGCTGCTCCATACCGTATTCCTGGCCAGGAAACCGAAGGGTTCGTCATTTTCTACTCGCCATCTTTCGACCTCGATGGAGCAGACGCGCCCATGAAACTCTTTGCCACGCACCGTGCTTTACGCGACATCTCTGTCAAGATGATCACCCAGCCACCTCAAGTGATTGTTCCCATTCCTGTGAAGCAGATGGAGAAGACAACCCTGGGGAAACTCTCCCGGTCTCGCCTCCTCATCCTCCTTCAGAAAGGTGGGATGGCGAAGCATATCGCCCGCGCTGACGAGCTTCTTAGCGAAGCACGAGGCGCTTCCTTCGTAGCCCCCTTCACAAAAACGGAAAAGGCTCTTGCCAAGATGTATGCAGGTATCCTCAACCTCGCAGACAACGAAGTGTCAGCGAACGATAACTTCTTTGAATTCGGTGGTACATCTATCGGTGTTCTCAGGTAAACACATAATTTACCACCGTAAAGATGATCTTCATTGACAAATAATCTGCAGGCTCAAGCGTGAGGGGGAGGCGTACTTTGGCCTGCCTGAAATCCCCGCCATACAAATACTGAAGCACCCCGATGTCTCGAGCCTGGCCAACTATATCGACTCCTTGCTCTCCAAAGACAGTCAAGCTGAGGAATACGACCCCGCTGTTCCCCTCCAAGTGACCGGAGACAAGACACCCCTCTTCTTCGTGCACCCTGGAGTCGGAGAGGTTCTTGTTTTCCTCAATCTTGCCAAGTACTTTCAGAATGAGCGTCCATTCTATGGACTCCGTGCTCGTGGCTTTGAGCCTGGTCAGCCCTTCTTCACGTCCATGGATGAGATGGTTTCCTGTTATACCACAAGTATCAGGAGGATTCAGCCGGCGGGACCATATGCCATTGCTGGCTACTGTTACGGTGGTCTGATGGCATTTGAAGTGGTCAAGCGCCTGGAGGCCATGGGCGAAGAAGTCAAGTTTTTCGGTCTCGTCAACGTTCCTCCTTATATCGCCCAGCAAATGCACGACATCGACCTCATGTGTACGCTCCACGTTGCGTTCTTCCTCGGTCTTATATCGAAGCATGATTCTGAAAGTATGGTGCCCACTTTCAAACCGCTCACGCAGAAGGAGAGGCTTGAGATCGTGTGGAATATGTCGCCTCCTGAACGTCTCGCCGAGCTCCAGCTGACACCTGAAACTCTTGAACACTGGATCAAGGTCTCCGCGTCTCTCTTGCGCTGTGGAAAGGGATACACCCCATCGGGCACAGCTCGTAAGTCATTCATTCGTCGACTTCAGCAGAGTTTGTTCATGTCTCTCCCCAGCTGTCATCGATATTTTCTACGCCGTCCCGCCTCGCGGCCCGGATGACAAGGTCAACTGGCTCAAGGAGCTCAAGCCATGGAGTGCTTTCAGTCGCAGCGACCCAATATTTACTGATGTACCTGGAGAACACAACACGCTCATGGACATTGATCATGCCTCGCAGTTCCAGAAGCTCTTCCGCGGTCGTCTTGAGGATCGTGGAGTGTAATGTTTGTTGCGCCTTTTGGCGACATGTACTTCTTTTCTGATAAATATATGTAGGAGTACTGTTTGTATACGTGCCACCTCTGCGGCCTTTTCCAAATGGTTATAGGGTTTCAAAATTTGCTGATCAATATCGTACACACCATAACTATTTCGAGACATGCGTACATGGGTAGTCTGCGACTCCTTAGTTGTAATGTTTCACTACTATCCCCTCAATGACCTCTTCTTCGACATTGTGCTCTATTCCCTTCTTAAGATCAGACCTACCATACGTCGTTGTCCTTCCCTTCCTCCACGCTGCGCACAGCGGGGCGTCCTCGTCAGGGCACCGGCGCTGGATGCCGAACTGGTGGAGTACCGGGCTCTCAACACACGGCATTAGGCGAACATCATCATCTGGCATTGAGAAGAAGAATACGCCCAGACGGTCGTAGTTGTGCTGATCCTCAGGAGGCTGTACGACGCGATGAATTGTGGGCTTATAGTAACCACCACTGAAGAAATCCATCATGTCGCCTGTGTTGATGACCTGAGGACGGAATAGTGAGTTTGCGATTGTTATAGTGGTTCACTCATTTGCGCACCAAAGCGTTCTCCATGTGGCGGACCCATTTCCATCTGCCGTCTGGAGCCTGAATTTGCAGGCCTCCGACAGGTTGGCTCCACAGAATAGTGACGCTGCCAACGTCTGCATGGTTGAGGGACATATAACGACAAGTAGTGAAATAAAATATACCTGTGTGTCCTTTCAACCAGACATTTTTAGATTTCTCCTCTTCTTCCTTGGTGCGCCTATAACTTGAGGAATATTGATCAGGTTGACAAGCAGGTGGTACGATTAAGGGTCACTTGCTATTTCATAAATCTGACTGCATGATCGCCCGTCAACATAGGATTGAATATCGTAGAATGAGACTAACCACATGTTTCTCCTGTGCCGTTGAAGTTGTGTTTTTCTACTAGAGTCTCCTCGGGCAACTCGAGGCTCAAAGCGAGCAAGCTGCAAGAGACCGCTCGTAAGATGAGGTATCAACAAGGGGCTCGCGAAGAACTAACCGAAGGATTGGATGAACAACGTTGAAGTGATTATGTCGGGCGAAGGCATCGATTTCCGGGAGGAACGGACGCAAGGCCTGAGGGTGCGGACGCCTTGTGACGTCCTTGTTAACTGTCGAAAGTGTAAAGGACGCCTACCACACAGAAGACTGTAGCACCTACTTCCATAGTGCTCGATCTGATCGAGAACTTGATTCTCCGCGTCGACTTTCTGATCATTGGGCGATTAGGACAAGCTTACATGTACGTTTCTTGCTAGAATGTGACATACCCAGAATTGACGAGCCTTAAAACCTGCATAGTACCCGACTTTCTCGATGTTTGCGGCGTATGTCTTCATTTCATCCGGAGGAACAACAGTGAAAGGGACATTAGCTATGTCAAAGATCCTATCGCGCTACAACAGCACTTCAGAAACCTTAGTATGGGCTACGGGCACAAGCGCACCTGAGCCTGGCTATAACCATGGTTTATAGCATAAACAAAGCCGTAGGTGCGCAGCGCATCTCGAAGTTGTGGATAGAGCTCTGCCCGTCCTTCCGGCGTGTGGGCCTTGGAAAGATCAACGATGGCCAGGTCTGCAAACTCTACTACACATTGAGTCGTTAGCCAGGCATACTATGTGGATTGAATACTTCCTCACAGTCCTCATTTGTGGCCGGAGGCGGGATATAGCGCCCACACTCGGGCAATGTTAGGCTGGGCATTTCCACTCGCTAGACGGTTATGGGAGAAAGGAGGACCTGGGACTTAGGGAAGAAGGAAGCTAGCACGGGACCCATTACCACTTCTCAAATACAGGATAGAGTTGAGATAAGGCATCAGAAATAGATATATGGTACTGTGACCGACCAGATGATTTTAGTGACCCTTCGGAGGTCCGGAGTTGATGGTATCAAGTACTTCAAACATGGCGCTCGAGAACTTGGAAGCGGGCAATGTTGTGTCTTGTCACTTGCATATTCAGAATACAGAGTGAAGGAATTTCGAAGTTACGAGGACATGTAGGTACTAGGAAGAGTCTGCGACTTGCCTGTATAGACCGCATCTCGGAAAATACCGAAGCCTAACTTTGAACGTCACGCTGAACCTTATCCTTTGTGACGTCACCAGTCACCAGTTGCTCGGTGTCTTTACTAATGACTTGCGATTGAACACCCTTTATCATTCGAACTGCTCTAAACTGGAACGTGAACCTCTTCCATGTCAATCGCGCTTGCTGCCACTTCTGTACATTCAGGTGCAATCCGTTATGCAGCACTGGAACTCGCTCTATCAGATGGTATCCGTGACCTGGGCCTTTGGAAAAAGCCAACACCTACTCTTTTGGTTGTGTAATACCTCAGATGGGCGAGTAGTTTCGTCACAAAATCTTCGTTTGTTTCAATAGGCTGTCTCAGGAAGGGCCTTTGTCTGAGATGTAAAAGGCCGGAAATCTCGAATCATTAATCTGAAGGTCGCGGACGCAGTGCACACTGCAGCGTCCATGACTATTCTGCAATAATAGACTCGGATCGGGACTTTATCTGCACGTAGGTTTTCTTCTCAGGTAGTGATTTGCTGATAATCGACTTACATGCGTTTCAAGGTTTTTCAAGACCATCTAATGATTATTCAGATGCATGTAAGATATGATGGTCTGGACACGACAGAATAATCATCCAGTAGTCCACCATCCTACCCCACCCCACCCTGATCATGAGCCGACGACTTCAGTCACAACACCTCGAGGTCGGGGATCTTCATAAGTTCCAAACCGGCACAGATTCACAAATTTGAATATTCATTTTGTTTCAAGTGCTTGTTCGTCACTCCTAAATCTCGACGGCACGGGTCTCATAACGGTTTTCGGCACTGGTGCTTCTCATTAATCTAGGCGACATTGATCCAGTAATAGCATTTGGCACTGCCCCTCGTTCGTCGCTTCCGAATCTAGGGGGTCACTAGTCCCGTAACAGGGTTCGGTGCTGGTTCTCGGTCATCACTCCCGGGCGTAATGGCGTTTGTATTTGGTCTGGTGTTCGGCGAATCGACATTGGAGCCACAACAGCTAAGCAGCGGAGCAAGACACTTGATGGAGTTCAACCACATGGTTGATATGGAGATGGAAAACGGATTTCAATACTTATACACCACAACAAACAACGGAAACTGTTAAGACGCGGTATCCTGGGAATTAGTGCACGAGGGGGATGAGTGGGAACATGTAAGATGGACTGACCGCTGCCCAACAGTCCACCACTCGATCCCGCTCATGAACGGAAACATTCGATCTGAGGGTCTCGGGTTTCAGGAATCATAGCACCTCTACACAGAATACTCGCATGTTTACATTTACATCTTTCCTAGCCCTGGTTCATCGCATAGCAATGCCTGATCGGAGCTCTACAATATATTTCGAATGTTATATGGATCGATTGCGTCGAACCGCGAGTCACATTTGATGGAATAAATCATGGCCATGCGCAGCCCAAGACGCACCAGCGACGATGGCATTGGAATACTTGTGACGTGAGTGGATGTATCATTGCAGACCATCGATGGAGTATGGTTGGGTTTCGTTCACCTCTGTGCCTAATATACAGGGTAATTTTCCCCCTCATTCTATGCTTTCATATCCTGCTTGCCAATATCGTCCAATGAGTCTGTTGATCTAGTGGCGTTATCAGAGCTGGCCGGTGCTTGATGCTTCCCCAAACACTCCAACTTCATGGCTGGTAAGTCGTCTGCACCTGCAACTGTCGCTTGCGCAGCACCCGCCTCAGCGTTTCCTAGCTTGTCCTCGTCGCCGCGGATGATCGTACGTTTGAGTGTGTAGCTACGGAGGAAGAGAACTAGAAAGAGACCGAATGCAGATAGTGGGGTGCTGACTATCCAAATCGTGCTGATAGATCGCGCGTAAGCATGCATGACCTCGTGGCGCACTATTGGGTTCTGGTGGGAGTGATCGTTAAGCCAAATCCGAGATCATGGTAGCGTGCTTACAGAAATGGAAGAGATCCGCTTTATGTTACCGTTTGAAGCCGTGGAAGAAGTGTCGATTGTGAGGCCTCGGATGCCCTGCAGTTTCTGCTGGAGGACACTGGAAATAACAGCTTCCCCCATCGCCATGCCTACCGTACTCCCAAGAGTTCTCAAGACCAATAAGTACCTACGAAAAACAAATCGTAAAGTCACACCCACCGGAGGAACATAAAAGTGCCTGTACTGGTAGCCATATCCTTTATAGGCATGGCTGCCTGTATGGCAATAAGCGGGCTCTATTGCGGAGGCGATGATGACCGTACATCGTTATGATGTGGTAAACTCACCTGGAACAAGCAACCGACACCGAGGGAAGTAATAAGGGGGTAGATTTCCTGTGCTGCACTGAATGAAAAAGCTATAAAGACCGCATGAATCCGACACAGACTAAATACGTACACATTGGTCGTATTATCCAGCATGGTCATGAGGCCCCAACCAAGCGTCATGGAAATCCATCCGAACCACATGACAGGGCGGTAGGATCCCATGCGAGTCACAACCATTCCAGAAACTGCTGACATGAGACTACAGCTTAACGAGTAAGGAAGCATTCTGCGCATATCAGCAACATAGGATAATAATGATACATGGGTTCAATACTCACTTGACGCCAGAACTCGTTGCCGATGCGCCAAGAACTTGCGCCGAGCTCAGCAAAATGCAGACTCGAAGGCTATAGGACAGGCCTACCTTGGTAGTACATTGGAAGGTAGCTAGAAAACACATGATGATGACAAGTATAAGCTCTGTCTGCAACGTACTCACTAAGAACCTGGAATAGTCACATAAATGAAGTACTCTCGAGACAGATTCGTGTACATGACACACCTGCGAAGAATATCATAGCATGTATGAAGACAGAAACTAATGCAAAGCCCGTCGTACGTGTCTGGAAAACCATGAGAAACGATATTGATACGGGGAGCTTTCTCAAGGACTCGCCTGGAAAAGACGAGGAGGAATGATGGGCGACCGCTTCGTATAAATCTCATTGATCCCACCGATGATGAGCAGTGTACCTCCCACAGCAAGGAGTGCAATGGTTTGTGGGTTTTTCCCTAAAGAAAATAATAATGGGTTTCGGTTCTGTAGAGCAAGAAGATCAAATTACACGTCGTTTCGGTCGGGTTGATACCAATGAGGAGACAAATAACCCCTGTAACGATCACAAACAGTCCAACGAAATCGAATTCTCGGACATGGTCGCGGAACGGCCTTCCTTGGTGCGGATTCAGATTTAAGAAAAAGAATAAAAGTGCGCCAGCTAAGCCGCCAGTTGGTCTGTCCATAAGACGTGTCAGTAATAAGCTTCTGATCTCGCAGCAAACATTAGAAACATATCAAGCGCACAAATTGATCCAGAAGCACCTGATACGCGTCAATCGTGAACCTTCGGTCAACAAATAGCACACGCAAGCTTACCACCTCCAAGATACATGATCAGTGAAAAGCTGTAGCGCAAAAAATCAATTCTTAGATCCTCTCAGAAGATGGGAGACCTCACACCACCGATTAATGGTCCAATCACACTGAGAAATAAGTTTCAGGCTTTGGAGGCTTAATGGTGGTGTTTTATTTAACCTTACCTTGCTGTGCCCCAAGTGGCACCAATGAGACCAGTATACTTGCCTCGCCTGGAAATGAATATGATCAACAATGACTTGGTGTTGGTAACAGATATTCACTCTTGCAATGGAACGATGTCGGATATGGTGATCTGTACGAGTTGGAAGATGCCGCCGCCGCCAACTCCCTGTACGACACGAGAGACAATCAACCATGTCATATTCTGAGCTGCACCACACAGCGCTGAACCCATCTAGTCTATGAGGTCAAAGCCTGATCGGACGCGCGTGCTAGTAAGAACGTACCAAAAATACGAGGATGCATCCATATAGTATGGGTTTACGGCCTGCAGATCCCAGTCATAGGTTTATTCCCGAGCAACACTCCATAACACTCAAAGAGCACTCGCCTAAAATGTCGGACAGTTTCCCATATAGCGGGCTCAAAGAGGAGCACGCCAGCATGTAAGCACTACGTGGAAAATAGTACCACGTAATAACACCATATGTAACACACACGTACCTCCCCACCCAACTATAGTTCTTACCTCCCCCCAGATCAGCTACAATTGTGGGCAGGGCGGTGGCAACGACAGTCTTATGGTATGTCAATCCGATAGTCATCAATAAAATAACACAAATACGTACTTGATCTATGGCTACCAAGAAAATTGTACCCATACAGCCAATAAACAAAATCCCCAGACGATTTTTGGGGATGACGTGCTCCTCCGAGTCGGCCTTTTTCCACGATGCACCTGGCCTTTCTTTGGCCTCCTCGACTGCTGGAGATGGTGGCTCTGCCATCTTTGTCGTGTTGTGAAAGTCTCGTTCACGAGGGCAGCGAGTGAATTTGAAGAACACACAATGTTAACAGAAAATGGACAAAGGTGAGTTGGTAGCTTCGACGATATCCCATATGTCCATGTGTAATAAAGGTCTAGATAAGTTGTCAAATTCTGCCGAGGTGTGGCGTTCACATTAATGGTAGGTCCTATATATATATCGCCGAGGCTTCTACCTTCCGAGATAGACCGACACACAGATGCATTTGGGATTCGGAGTATCGTTGAAGTTCTATTGGAATTATGCCATAGCTAGGACAGTTCGTAGAGCACCACGTCTTCCTGACGATAGACAAAGATAGAAATTATCTCTTTCTCTCTCTATTGAAATTGGTGTTGCCGCCGAGGCGAATCGAAATTCGAATCGAATCGATGTGGGAAATTGCAGTAATTCGACACAGCTCGACGCTAGTTTGACGCTAGTACTTAAGTACTTACGAGTTGTAACGAATTATGCCTCGTTTGACTCGCGAGTTGGTAATGAGTTCGGGGGTGATACGGACCGGTAGTTCAGCCAATGAGAAGCCAGCAATACTCGTGCCACCAACGACGATTATTTGCAAGTAGCTACACAACAAGCAGCCAGAACTAATTACAACCTATCTTCCTTGCATTCACGAACAACTGACATCCATAGCGACACGAAATAGAAGCGGGAATGTGTGCTCTTTTTGCTACATAACCCTATGAAATCAATGAAGGGATTGTATGACGCACCTCCCAGAAATGAACTATATCTGTTGTGCGTTTAGCCGTTTCGAGTTGTAGACCTGCATCTTCAACTCGCACTCAGCATCTTTCCTGTCCTGTTCGAGTTCCTTGCGGATGCGTTCCTCTGTGGTTTCTGGTGTTGGTGAGCGCATCATTGTTTCAGAGACGATGATGGGAGTCGGAGGAATAGTGCTGGTGCTGCTAGTAGTAGTGGATGCTGAGCGCTGAACAGTTACATTGATCTGGTTCATGCGCCCGTATCGAGCACACAAAGATCGAGAGGCAATCGCTGTTGAGTTGGTGAGCTCCTGCTGTGATACTGAGCGTGCGGTTTCCGATTAGGTTTGAGCCTGGCCAACTCTGATGGATGTACAAAACGAAGTCATCTGGACACCAAAAGTAATGACTCATCCGGAACACGCAAAAAAACGCACTGCTTGTAGTATCCATTTGCGAGCATTTTGGACGTCCTGAGTCTGCCAGCGTTCCTTCAACCACTCGAGCTTGAAACGAATTTGGTCATTTTCGAAGCGAGCCGAGTTTAACTCGATTTGAACTCACCTCGACAACAACACTAATTGAAATTACGGTCGCTATTTGGCGATATTATAAAAGCGGAAAATTGAATAACAGCGCTACTGGGCCGAGTACGCCGGATGAGAGGTTTGCTCCCGAGGATTCTCACCTGGTACGCTACACTATATGGTAAGTTGTCAGAATGCTTCTCATCAAAATCACGTAGACGGCGACATGAATTATAGCCATGGCACAGCGCGTACCAGAAACGGAGTCCAAGACATGGCAGCGATGCAGGGCAGGAAACTTGGATAGAGTTACAGAGTGGAGGGGGTAAATGGAGCAGATAGATGTCACGGCCACCTGTCTGATGAGGTGCGGACTCCCCCAACTAATCACACGTGTGAATATACATGGCGCTCGAGAACTTGGAAGCGCGCAATGTTATGTCTTGTCACTTGCATATTCAGAGTGAAGGAATTTTGAAGTTACGAGGACATGTAGGAAGAGTCTGCGACTTGTCTGTATAGCATCTCGGAAAATACCGAGGAACCTTAAGCCTAATTTTGAACATCACGCTGAACCTTATCCTTTGTGACGTCACCAGTCACTAGTTCTTTACTAATGACTTGTCAGACGAACGATTGAACACCTTTTATCATTCGAACTGCTCTGAAATGGCACGTGAACCTCTTCCACGTCAATCGCGCTTGATGCCACTTCTGTACAGGTGCAATCCGTTATGCAGCACCGGAACTCGCTCTATCAGATGGTATCCGTGACCTGGGGCCTTTGGAAAAAACCAACACCTACTGTTTTGGTTGTGTAATGCCTCAGATGGGTGAGTAGTTTTGTTACAAAATCTTCGTTTGTTTCAATAGGCTCTCTCAGGAAGGGCCTTTCTCTGAGATGGAAATCTCGAATCATCAATCTGAAGGTGGTGGACGCAGTGCAGCGTCCATGACTATTCTGCAATAATAGACTCGGATCAGGACTTTATCTGCACGTAGGTTTTCTTCTCAAGTAGTGATTTGCTGATAATCGACTTACATGCGTTTCAAGGTTTTTCAAGACCATTGTACGTTCCGAGCGGATCGTGAGCTTGCGAACGTTGACGCATGTGAAAAGGGCCTTTGTAAGCGTCCATGTGGAGATTCGCATTCTTGTGCTTCGATACGAGAATGGGTCTGGTCTGTGCGCGCACTCTCAAATAGTCCTCAGCTTCGAAGATTCGCGCTTTGAGTTCTCTCTCTTCTTCTTCGTCCTCCCCATTTGTGCGACGTCTTACATTTTAGCTCACCCGCCCACCTCCCTAATATCTGCATATTCCAGCGCTTTTTGGTTTGGTATTGCTTTCTCCTTCAGACCCAACGTCTGCTCCCGATACTAAATCAGTCAGCGCTCCGAAGGGCTGTTTTTTCCTCCTCCCGATCCGTGCACTTTTGTCTCTCAACGCACGCGCCTTCGGGCACTCCGAGCCTCAGACACAGAGCTCCAAGTCTTTTATAGACACCGAGCAAAAACCTGTCTCGGCCAATCAACACCAGCCCTTCCCACACAAAAACCAAATCCTCCAACTCACGATTCGAGCACGCGAAGATTTGTTTCTCCTCTCTCAGAATTCTCATGCACTATTTCGCAGATATTTACCCTCAACGAACATATCTACTCTACCTCGTTCAAAGATTGACATTGTCTACTAACTCGCGACAATTCAATCCCTCTTTCGCTCCACCTTAACGCTAGTATACAAAGGCTAATGATTATTCAGATGCATGTAAGATATGATGGCCTGGACACGACATAATAACCATCCAATGGTCCACCACCCTACCCCACCCCACCCTGATCATGAGCCGACTTCAGTCACAACACCTCGAGGTCGGGGATACTTGCGACGTGAGCGGAGGAGTCATTGCTACTCGAGTCAGACCATCGATGGAGTATGATTGGGTTTCGCCCACCTCTGCGCCTGAGATACAGAGGAATTTTTCCCCTCATTCTATGCTTTCATATCCTGCTTGCCAATATCGTCCAATGAGTCTGTTGATCTAGTGGCGTTATCAGAGCTGGCCGGTACTTGATGCTCCCCCAAACACTCCAACTTCATGGCTGGTAAGTCGTCTGCATCTGCAACTGTCGCTTGCGCAGCACCCGCCTCAGCGTTTCCTAGCTTGTTCTCGTCGCCGCGGATGATCGTACGTTTGAGTGTGTAGCTACGGAGGAAGAGAACTAGAAAGAGACCGAATGCAGATAGTGGGGTGCTGACTATCCAAATCGTGCTGATAGATCGCGAGTAGGCATGCATGACCTCGTGGCGCACTATTGGGTTCTGGTGGGAGTGATCGTCAAGTCAGAACTGAGACCATGGTAGCGTGCTTACAGAAATGGAAGAGATCCGCTTTATGTTACCGTTTAAAGCCGTGGAAGAAGTGTCGATTGTGAGGCCTCGGATGCCGTGCAGTTTCTGCTGGAGGACACTGGAAACAACAGCTTCCCCCATCGCCACGCCTACCGCACTCCCAAGAGTTCTCAAGACCAATAAGTACCTACGAAAAACAAATCATAAAGTCACCCACCGGAGGAACATAAAAGTGCCTGTACTGGTAGCCATATCCTTTATAGGCATGGCTGCCTGTATGGCAATAAGCGGGCTCTATTGCAGAGGCGATGATGACCGTACATCGTTATGATGTGATAAACTCACCTGCAACAAGCAACCGATACCCAGGGAAGTAATAAGGGGGTAGATTTCCTGTGCTGCACTGAATGAAAAAGCTATAACGACCGCGTGACTCCGACACGACTGAATACGTACACAGTGGTCGTACTATCCAGCATAGTCATGAGGCCCCAACCAAGCGTCATGGAAATCCATCCGAACCATATGACAGGGCGGTAGGATCCCATGCGAGTCACAACCATTCCAGAAACCAATGCCGCGAGACTAGGGCTTAACGAGTAAGGAAGCATTCTGCGCATATCAACAACATAGGATAACAATGATACATGGGTTCAATACTCACTTGACGCCAGAACTCGTTGCCGATGCGCCAAGCACTTGTGTCGAGCTCAGCAAAATGCAGACTCGAAAACTATAGGACAGGCCTACCTTGGTAGTACATTGGAAGGTAGCTAGAAAACCCATGATGATGACAAGTATAAGCTCTGTCTGCAACGTACTCACTAAGAACCTGGAGTAGTAACATAAATGATTGTTAGTACTCTCGAGACAGATTCGCGTACACGACACACCTGCGAAGAATATCATGGCATGTATGAAGACAGAAACTAATGCAAAGCCCGTCGTACGTGTCTGGAAAACCATGAGAAACGATATTGATACGGGGAGCTTTCTCAAGGACTCGCCTGGAAAAGACGAGGAGGAATGATGGGCGACCGCTTCGTATAAATCTCATTGATCCCACCGATGATGAGCAGTGTACCTCCCACAGCAAGGAGTGCAATGGTTTGTGGGTTTTTCCCTAAAGAAAATAATAATGGGTTTCGGTTCTGTAGAGCAAGAAGATCAAATTACACGTCGTTTCGGTCGGGTTGATACCAATGAGGAGACAAATAACCCCTGTAACGATCACAAACAGTCCAACGAAATCGAATTCTCGGACATGGTCGCGGAACGGCCTTCCTTGGTGCGGATTCAGATTTAAGAAAAAGAATAAAAGTGCGCCAGCTAAGCCGCCAGTTGGTCTGTCCATAAGACGTGTCAGTAATAAGCTTCTGATCTCGCAGCAAACATTAGAAACATATCAAGCGCACAAATTGATCCAGAAGCACCTGATACGCGTCAATCGTGAACCTTCGGTCAACAAATAGCACACGCAAGCTTACCACCTCCAAGATACATGATCAGTGAAAAGCTGTAGCGCAAAAAATCAATTCTTAGATCCTCTCAGAAGATGGGAGACCTCACACCACCGATTAATGGTCCGATGACACTGAGAAATAAGTTTCAGGCTTTGGAGGCTCAATGGTGGTGTTTTATTTAACGTTACCTTGCTGTGCCCCAAGTAGCACCAACGAGACCAGTATACTTGCCTTGCCTGGAAAATGAATATGATCAACAATGACTTGGTGTTGGTAACAGATATTCACTCTTGCAATGGAACGATGTCGGATATGGTGGTCAGTACGAGTTGGAAGATGCCGCCGCCGCCAACTCCCTGTACGACACGAGAGGCAATCAACCATGTCATATTCTGAGCTGCACCACACAGCGCTGAACCTATCTAGTCTATGAGGTCAAAGCCTGATCGGACGCGCGTGCTAGTAAGAACATACCAAAAATACGAGGATGCATCCATATAGTATGGGTTTACGGCCTGCAGATTCCAGTCATAGGTTTATTCCCGAGCAACACTCCACAACACTCAAAGAGCACTCGCCTAAAATGTCGGATAGTTTGCCATATAGCGGACTCACAGAGGAGCACGCCAGAATGTAAGCACTACGTGGAAAATAGTACCACGTAATAACACCATATGTAACATATACGTACCTCCCCACCCAACTATAACTCTTACCTCCCCCCAGATCAGCTACAATTGTGGGCAGGGCGGTAGTAACGACAGTCTTATGGTATGTCAATCCGATATTCATCAATAAAATAACACAAATACGTACTTGATCTATGGCTACCAAGAAAATGGCACACACCCAGCCAATAAACACAATCCCCAGACGATTTTTGGGGATGACGTGCTCCTCGCCTGCTGGAGATGGTGGCTCTGCCATCTTTGTCGTGTTGTGAAAGTCTCGTTCACGAGGGCAGTGAGTGAGTTTGAACAACGTACAATGTTAACAGAAAATGGACAAAGGTGGGTTGGCAACTTCGTATCACATCCATGTGTAATAAAGATATAGATGAGTTGTCAAATTCTGCCGAGGTGTGACGTTCACAAGATCTGAGGCTTCGACCTTCCGAGAAGACCAACACACAGATGATATGGGATTCGGAGTATCGTTGAGGCCCTATTGGAATTACGCCATAGGACAGTTTGTAGAGCACCGCGTCTTCCTGATGATAGAAATTATCTCTCTCTATTGAAATTACGGTCGCTATCGATGATCCAAGGCACAAGAGTCACGACCTTGAACGAGGTATCACTTGCAGTGAAAACTAAGTATCAGTGGACCACATTAACAAACTCGAGCTATTCGATGCGGTCAGCTAATTACACGCTGCACTTGACGCGTCGACGATTTGTGCCAGCGCGCCGTGGCATCTGGACCAAATGTGCATCTTGCGATATTATGCTAATGCGGAAATTTGAATAGGGCCGAGTACGCCGGATCATGTGAGGTTTACTCCCAAGGACCTCCAGACGTTCTCACCTGGTACGCTACACTATATGGTAAGTTGTCAGAATGCTTCTCATCAAAATCACGTAGACGGCGACATGAATTATAGCCATGGCACAGCGCGTACCAGAAACGGAGTCCAAGACATGGCAGCGATGCAGGGCAGGAAACTTGGCTAGAGTTTAGGCTAGAAGTGCAGAGTGAATGGAGCAGATAGATGTGTATCGGGGTCACGACGACCTATCTGATGAAAATCAAGAAGGTGCGGACTCCCCCAAGTAATCACACGTGTGAATATACATAGATGAATTATCAAAAACGTATTGGAAACGTACCGCCTCGTATCTTCTCCGGCCCAGAAACTGCAATCATCTACCACACAGACACTAATCATACTGCCACGTGGTCGCCACCAGAGCGTCCACGTCCGCGTCCGCATTGTCCTCCTCGTCATCATCATCGCCATTGTCGTCATTATCCAGCTCGAGCGTCGAAGTCGGCGGGCTCTCGGGAGTCTGAACGACCTGCTTTAATGCGGGAACAAGTTTTGGGTCGGGTTTCATTAGCAGTGGAGGCTTGAAAGGCTGTAGCATAACTTGCCTTTGCATGTGAAGCCACATAGGCAATTGCACGGTAGCATAGTAGCACAATTGAGATGAAGGGGACCTGGAATTGGGGAGGTTGTGTTGCGCGCGCATCCCCAGCGGTACGACCTCATTGAGTCGTTTGGGGCACCACGGCAGAGTGTACATGTCTCGGCGGGGGTATCTTGCCTAAAACAGCTGTGGATATAGAGGCAGTTGTAGTTGCGAGAGCTTTGGAGGAAGGCAGAAACTCAGAGCTTGAGGAAGAAGCCGTAGGACGACTAATAGATGGGCATGACGGTACTGGGTGTCCTCCCCTTCGCACGCTTCGGTGGTGGCACAATGTCGTCTGGCACGTGCATCGAGAGGCTTGTCCAGAGCAAAATCACCAGCCTCAAGATACTCATCAAGTGTGATGAAATTCAAAAATACAGAACACAAGTCTAATCCTGATACACATGGTCAACCGTAGTTACTCAATCTCAAACAAAGGTGCCTTTTGGAAATATGGCGTGCAACATCTGCATATCATGTTCGGCCAGGATCAACTGTCCGTCTTCCGCTCCATCAGGTCTCCAGAGACGTTCTCCTTGATATACGTTCATTGGGTATCGTGTTTCGCCTATCGTTCCGGACCAGTCGAAATCCACCAACATGAATCCAGGGCTGCAGTCCTTTTTTACTATAATATTTGTGTCCCGGATGTCTCCGTGAACATAACCTCCTCGATGAAGAGACTGGAGTTCTGTAGCGAGCGCATCGTGATGAGGGTAAGGAACGGTAATTTCCTGGAGACGACAGTAATCATCCGTGATCATCTCCATCACAATCATGTACCATCCGCCTGGTAGCTGTTCGAAGCCCAGAAGTGCTGGAGCGAAGCCATCCGAAGCACATCGTTGATGTACTTCCTTAGAGTAGCGACGGACAAACTTGATGCAGAGTGTCTTGTCATCGGTCGTCTTGACGGCAGAAAAGAGTAATCTGGAATGATCCATTTGATTGTAGTACGTGAAATCACACGTCAACGATGTCTCGATGCAAGTGAAAGAATACGGGTATGGAAACATGGGATCTTGAAATTTAGAGTCCAGAAATTCGAGGTCTTGATCAAGAGAAGGGGACGTCATACCCTGGTAACATGCCAAGAGGGACCGAAGAGCTTTCCTGAGCGCACCAATGTGCCGAGCGACCATCGCACGCATTTTGCTATCGGTGGGGTGATGAAAGAGAGGTAAAGCAGTCGAAATTACCTGCATGTTCGGACGATTGCTCCAAACAGCGGCTGAGAAATCGATGTGCGGACCTGTTGAAGTTGTGATCAGTGCATCACGAGTTGTGAAATACTGCAAACCTACCAAATAGAGTGATTATTATACATGGAAACCTAAATGTAGGCTTGGCCTTCGCAAAAGACTCGGTGAAACGTATATAATATAAAATAGCCTGCATGTGGGGTTCGGCTGGCGTGGACCCTAACTCGCTCTTGACTTCGGCAATTGCATAACGGAAACCTTTGTGTTGTATGTCGCCGTCAGGGCCGTATGCGGTGCCATCAATTGTGGTGCCCATCATGCCGATATTGTGCTCTTGCAGGATTTCACGAAATCTGGAAGCTCGTGCTGTCTCGTCCGTGAAGAAGCCGGACATAACCGCCGACAATGTCATAGCCAACTTGTTGTCGTCTGGCGTTGGCTCAAGATTTTCGCAGTCATCTATGAATGTTCCGAAGATTGGATGAAGTAGCGTGCAGGGTATAGTATGTGCATTCTCAGGGGGTCAATTCCAGTAAACGAACTGGTCTGACTTTTGCTGTATGGCTTTGAATTCAGAAGGTTTGGCCTGGGAGGGAGGAGCCCCCTGGGGAGAATTGTACTGTCCACGAAGTGGCTGTGTCCTAACCAGGATTGCAGAAGGCGACGGTCGCAAATGGCTGCGGTCGCCGTCTGGGAGGCAGCCGTCAGCTCAGTCGCCATGTCAAAGCGATATCGACCGATAACTCACAAGGAAGTAGCGGTTCGACAACGATATGCAGGTGCTTATACTGAGGACTGTCAAAAACCTCGAACATTCCATCCACAGTCGATAATAGTTTCTGCTGATCTAGTTCGAGCTCATTGACAGTACGCTCGAAGGAGTCGTCGACAGGCAGGTCGACCTTCCAAATTATCAGATCGTCAGCATCTGATTGTAGGTATCAGATCACTCACTTTCCATAGCCGGAGAGTGCATACATCCAGGTCGCGAAATGCAGTTCTACTTTTCTTGATCAACTCTTTCAAGTTACCAACAGTGTCCGTCAATGCAATCTTGACCGGGAATATGTTCCCGGGGTGGTCGCCTAATACTAGGCAGTTGAGGTTGATCAACGAGTAGCCGGCTGAGTGAGGAACACCTTGATCACACCACAATCAGTATGGATGAAAGAGAGGCGATATCGACAGACAACTCACGAGCAGGTAACGGCTGGACAACAATATGCAGGTGCTTACGCTGAGGAGGGGTGTCGAAAACCTCAAACATTTGGTCCACAGGCGATAATGCTTTCTTGTAATCTAGTTTGAGTTCGTCGATATTACTCTCGAGAGTGTCATCGACAGGCAAGTCGACCTTCCAAAGTGTTAGATCGTCCGCACCTGATTGTAGGTATTAGATCACTCACTTTCCATAGCTGGAGAGCGTCTGCATCCAGGTCGCGAAATGCATGTGTCTTTTCCTTGATCAAATCTTTCAGGTTATCAACGAGCTTCGTCGATACAATCTTGACCGGGAATATGTTCCTGGGGTGGTCGCCTAATACTAAGCAGTTGAGGTTGAAGTTGGACTTCATGTTGGGAACAAGAGCAGGTGGTGGGTATTGGCATGATGGAGTCCAATATTTTATTTTATTTTTTGTTCCCCCGTGTAACAGAGTCAACGTGACCCTACTATATTATTGTGAATCGAGCCTCTTCTTTCTTTATCAAGCAGGTTTTGGTGTTTCGCAGCGTCATCATCCCGTCACATGAACTAGTGGCCAACACTATTCCACCAGGAGAAAAATCTAGCGAGGAGATCCAATCGGAGTGGGCTTTAATGATTTGGGTGAGTGACTCACCAGTTTTTCCGTGCCAGACAATGACCTCTCCGTCAAAATCACCGCTTGCCATCTCGTGATACTGCCACCTCGCTGTGATACCTTTTCATTTTCTTCAACACAACACCTGTCTTCGAGTCCCACAGACGAAGCGTCTTATCGCACGATCCCGTAACCATCCGTCGTCTATCGAGAAACACTGCGATTGCCCTTACAAGTTCTTCGTGACCTTGAAACTTTCGCAGGGGTGTAGTGATTGGAATGAGCTCGCACATTTTACTGGAGGTTGATGGCATTTGGTGAGGTCAAGGTGGACTCTGGAGGGATTGTGGGTGTCTTTCCCTAAGTTGCAGAGGTGCGTGTATTGTGCGGTTTATGTGTCAACGCTGTGAGCTTCTACCCTTCCATCATCGTTATGGCAAGAATGCGTCCTATTATAGAACCAACTGATAGTACTCTGTCTGGCAAAGCAGAATCCAGATACACTCCAAATTTCCTTCCTTTTTTTTCTCTCCATCTGACCTCTCACGTCCTATGCTCAAGACCACAGCGCCCTCAGCTCTGACCCATTGCCCTTACCCCCCGCATCCCTGTAAAAGTCCTACCCCACACTGTACAATATCGAAAACCCAGCTCCATCCGCACTGCACACTTTAGGTAGCGGCACACCCCACCCTTTTTAGAAACCCTAGTTTTTAATTTACTGCGGTTTGACTTTGGTCAGCTCTTCGACGGTATATTGTGTTTACCGTAGCAACAGGATACACAATATTAGCACGATATTGACCTTCATTCAGCTGTGCAAATAGACACATTGTGTCTCCTCGTGTTCTCACCCTCGACAACGCCTTTTGCAATTCACTGTAAGCAAAGGGATCTCTGTTCAAAGGTTGAACACGGAGTTGAACTTTGACAAACCAACTGTGTCCGAGGGTGCTAAGGCAATGTCTTTGACAGTCAGTCTCCAGTGATGCTGTGTATGGTCCCTGGCCGACGACATACTTGCTGGCGGCAAGCAAAGGAATTTTGGTGAAACGCGGATGTCCTCTAGAACAAACTCGCATGTTCTAGTGAGGGCCGGCAACGTATTGTGAGATATCCATTTTTTTCCTGCTTGATTATACTACTCGAAATTTTACCTGTTATGATGACCGGCACTCGCGCCATCGGGAAGGGGTTGTGAGTAATATATATAGATAGATGTCACCATCAATGATAGGGTCGATAGTTGTCCGCACATCCATTGTAGCACTAGAAATCCTTGAAATTTGTTGATCTGATACCATTTTGAATTCGAAGACCAAGAAGGTGAAATGATGATGTATCGGATACTCGGGCCGTAGAAAAGTAGCAATTTGAATAATAGTGATCGATTGATCACCAAGGCCTAGCAAGGCCTTCGGATGATATGTTGAGGATACCGGATGTCGATGGAAGGGTTGAAATTACTTACTTAATCATGCACATGACTTACACCATCACTGTCGGCATATAAGTCTTTGGACACTTATGCATGCCTATTACCAACAAGTTTGCGAGGTTTGCTTGAATTCCGGACGTTTGATTGGATTCGAAGGATGTTTTTGTTTCATTAGTAGTTGAGCCATCGAGGAACCTAGTTACCTGAGCTTATGAAAGCGTAGATGGCCAAATATAAAAATTCAAAAATTCAAAATTCAAAAGTCAACTTGGGCTGAATGTTCGTTAGCCCTTGAACTTAGATGACCACCAACGAGCCCATAGTCCAACGGCACCGCTGTCACGACCGACAATGTCAAGATATGATCATTTCCATACAGTCACTTGTCCAACGTCACTTGTGGAAATGTACGATGTTCAACATTTAGCGCTAAGGAGAATATATACCGAGGACAAGAATGGTGAGCACTGCCATTAACTGATTGACACGAGTCATATAGACGCCTATAGGCTACATCCAGTGTGGATTCACAGGATACCATCCGCCTTGCCCTTGATCTAGTACTTCTCAGTTGACCTTTCATCGCTCACGAAGCTAATCGAGAAAGCATGGAGAACGTCGATGTGAGGTATGGTCGCATTGTCACCGTGCTTGGTGTCGCCATATTTGTTTTACTGATCTTGTGATGTGACTGTGCTGCAGGACGGAAGACTTGCCAGACAATTTGACGCCCTTTATCACTCGAACAGCTCTGGACCATATTGGTGGAGGTGCATTTGGCGATGTCTGGAAATGTAATTATGATGCAAATGGTATTTCTGCCCTCGTAAGTCCATATGTTGGATTCAATTTACTATGCAACTGGCTGATCATGTTCGGAACATTGATTGATAAGGTTGCGGTCAAGGCCTTTAGACTTCCAGAAAGTTATGATTTAGAGGCACTCAACAGGGTAAGCTTCGTATGACAACTGCATAATAGCCCGTGCTAACTTGTACTGACGCACCCAGAAAATCAGCCGAGAGATAGGCATATTGAGAATTCTACGCCATAACAATATCGTACCCTTGTGGGGTATAACGACAGGATTTGGACGAATATCAGAGTTGCGTTGCTTAGTATCTCCGTGGATGCCAAACGGCACGTTGAATGTATACCTAGTATCTAATCACAATGACCTAACACCTCTAGACCGTTCGCGTATGGTGAATAATTCTCATCATATCCTTCCACTTTTCAAGACTAACTGGATGTTTCGAGCTGAAGGATGTCAGTGCTGGACTTCGTTACTGTTAGTTTTCATCTATTTTCGCAATACATTCAAGTTGTGACTTTACCATTGGTGCAAGTGCACTCGATTTCTGTCATGCACGGGGATATAACAGGGGTAAGCCTAGAGCTGCTGCTGCATTCTTGAAAACTGATGAACATGCAGGCAAATATACTGATCGACAAAGGAGGCCATGCGAGGTTAATCGACTTTGGTCTTTCCACCATCACACAACCCCTTATCGACCAGTCCCACTTGGCCGCGACATCCATACGTCCAGGCGCAATCCGCTACGCAGCACCAGAACTCGTTCTACTAGACAATACCCGCGAGCTGCCAGTGCCTCTAGAAAAAGCTGATATATACTCTTTTGGTTCTATAATGCTTCAAGTGAGTTCTTAGTTCGAACACAAGATATTCGTTCAAGGACTAACTGACCAGATTCTCTCGGGTCTGCGTCCTTGGTCTGAGATCCCGTCAGAAGCGTTCATCATCGTTAGGATCTCGCAGGGTGATGGACCGCAACGTCCTGATAGTCAACCTACCATAATAGACTCCGATTGGAAATTCATCCAAAAATGTTTGCAATCCGAACCCGAACTTCGACCTTCAGCAGATGAAGTGCTTGACTTTGTCATGCATAGGTTTTCCTCTCCAGGTAATTCTGCATAGTTCATGGTGCTTTACAACCATCCGCTTACAGGAGCTTCAAGACCCTTGTCACGGCAGTGGACCGCCTGACGATCCTTCCGATGATGGACCTGATAATGACCCCGGAGCTTCCCCACAGGGTGGTTCTAATGAGTCAGATACGGTAGAACAACCACCCGGCAGTCCACCTGGTCGCGAATCAAAACCTTCAATTTTGTTAAAGCCTCGAATTTCTTAGTATGTCCACACACAACATTCGTATACATATGTTCATATTTAATTTGCGCAGCTGTCATAGTGGTTCAGCTACTACGCACTCCGGAACAGCACCCAACAATCCCGATGTTGGACCGGATAATGACCCCGGAGCTCCCTCACATGGTGGTTCTAATGAGTCAGATACGGCAGAAAAGCCACTCGACAGTCCACCACTCCACCCTGATCACGGACCGAAGACTTTTTTCACGTTCACGGATAGTTTGTTCACGACCACGGAAAGTTCGTCTACATCCACCTCGAATGCTCCTGTATTTTCCACACCGGGCTTCTTCCATTACGACGACTCAAGTAATGCAATGTCTGGGTCCTCCACTAGACGAGAACCTGTAAGTTGTTGACCTTTTGGCCGTGCCTCACTACAACTAATCGGCCCTTGCAGATGCACCATTCTCTCGATGAGGTGTTTCAGTGCATGTGGGCTAGTTCTCACGGGTTACATTGCAATGAGTTGATTCGTGGCCACGATCTTTCTCTTCACCTACGTGAAGCTCATGGAATTCATGGCTCAGACAAGTCTCGCGTCATGTGCATGTGGGATGGTTGTCATGTGGAACCTATCAAAGAATCCCTCTCGAGGCATGTGGAAGAGATGCATTTAGGAATTGTGTACACCTGTGAATGCGGGAACAGGTTCTCGCGTAAAGATACCCTCAACCGACACAGAAGGACGTGCATGGCCTAGAGTTTGCATTTTAATATTGAGTAACTGGTATACCGGTATGTAGTATATACGTAGCAGTCAAGAGTCCAGATATGCAGTTCAAAATCATAAAGTGAGTATTATATGTGAATGCGTGTACATGTATCTAAGTAGATGGATTATCAAAGACAGATCGAAAACATAGTATTCACCTTCCATAGCATACACCCACCTCACATCTTCTCCGGCGTCAGAAACGCATGCGTCTACCCCATCAATTATATTGCCGCATCGTCGCCTCCAGGACATCTACATCCACATCAAAAGACACATCAAACGACGAATCCCCACCCGCCGCACCGAGTTTATCCTCCTCCTCCTGACCATCCTCGTTGCTATTGTCCGTGACCAGCTCGGGCGTCGAAGTCGGCGGGCTGCCGGATGTCTGGACAACCTGCTTTGACGCTGGAGCAGGTTTCGCGTTGGGCTTCTTGAGCAATGGAGGCTTGAAGGGTGGAAGCGTCACTGGCTTTTGTCCTTTCGCTTATGAAACCGCATAGGGCAACTGCGTGGTGGCGTAGCGCGATTGTGACAATGGGAATCCGGAATTTGGGAGGTTGTGTTGCCGGCGCATCCCCAGTAATGGAGGACCTCGTTGAGTTGCTGAGGGTGGTACAACATGTCTCGGCTGGGGTATCTTTTCTGGAACTACTGTGAACACGGAAGTGGATGCAGTTGTGAGAGCTTTGGAAGGAAGCATGAACCCAGAGTTTGAGGAAGAAGCCGCAGGACTAGCATCCATAACAATACTGGGGATCCTCCCCACAGCGCGCTTGGGAGGTGGTAGGACGTCATCCACGTGCATCGAGAAAGACTTGTTTGAGCGAAGTCACGCGGAATCGGTGAAAGTGCTTCCCTCGCGATCCGTATCTCGATATGAGTCCAACGTCATCTAGATGTGCCAATGTGTGTAGAGAGCTTAACTGTAGGTTTGATAGTTGCAGAGCTCAATTATCTACTGATCGCACTTCCTCGCAGAGGTGCATAAGAAGCAGACGACATACTAGCTGTCTTCCTTGCGATCAATGCGGTGGATGTGGACCTCGACCCAGACGAAGATGCACAGGTAATCTTCTGGACTGCGATGTCCCCCAGCGTGCTCGCCGCTTCCTTTTCTGTCTTCGCCTTCGCAGCTTGCCTTCGCCTCGAATTCTCATCCATCTCTGCAGTGCCATTACGTATTATATGAAGGTATCTCGCGGCCAGTTCTGATTCGGAAGAAACGCCATCCTTCACAGGTGCGGTAGGTGAATACGCACGCGACGGGGGTACTTTCTTCGAGATGAGTTTCATGAGACGTAGCTTCCTCGATGAATTAGACGCAAATGTAGATGAAAGTGTGCTTGTCGATGGTGTGGAAAAACCAAGGAGGGATGCCGTGCGGCGAGAGACAGACGTGCTGGTGCTTGATGCCCATGTGGATGTGTGCTCAGACGCATCCAAACGAGCTGCAAGTAGAAAAAAGCAAGTCAAAAACACCTCGAATGTTCTCGTGTGAGAGCACGTACGTTTCTGTTCTCGCTTTCTCTCATTTTGCTCTCTGCATCTGCATGAGTTCTCGGATGACAGGGTCAAGTTGGGATTGTTTCCATGTAACGTAGTCGACATCGTCGTTGATGCTCATGTTAGCGGATGCAGGCCGAGTACTAGCACGCGCCCATTGAGATGCAGAGGAGAATCGTAATTTGGAATGAAGGGGATGGCTCCACGTCCTAGTCCATTGCGAACACGGTGTTAGTTTGATGTAAACAAATACAAGTGAGAGAAAAGACTGTACGTTTTGTACGTTGGATCATGATGTTAGTCATGTAAAACATATGAATTGTTACTGAGATGAAAGAGACAAACTTTCAGATTGATTGCGAAAGCGAACGGAACCTCAGTTTCCATCCATGAGGGGCAAATTCTCATATGTATAAGTTACGCTGCACTTGACGCGTCGACTCGGATGATTTGTGCCAATGATCTGATATCTGTTTCCATTTTGAATTCAAAGACCAACTTGAATTGAATGAAGCAGAGGCCCGGGATACCCGACGGGCCGTAGAAAAGTAATTTGAATAATAGCAGCTATCCGCCATTTAGCGCTAAGGACAAGGTCAAGTTGAGGTCAAGAATGGTGAGCACTGCTATTAAGTAATTAACACGAGTCATATAGACGCCTATAGACTACATCCAGCGTGGATTCACAGGATAGTACTTCTCAGTTGACATTTCATCGCTTACGAAGTTGATCGAGAAAGTATGGAGAACGACGATGTGAGGTATGATCACATTGTCGCCGTATTTGTTTTACTTCTGATATGACCGTGCTGCAGCATGGAAGACTTGCCAGACGATCTGACGCCCTTGATCACTCGAATAGCTATGGACCACGTCGGTGCAGGTTCATATGGTGATGTCTGGAAATGCAATTATACTAATGCAAATGGTATTTCTACCCTCGTTAGTCCATGTGCTGGATTCAATTTACTGTGCAACTGGCTGATCATGATCGGGACATTGATCGATAAGGTTGCGGTCAAGGCTTTCAAACTTCCAGAACATTATGATTTAGAGAAACTCAACAGGGTAAGTTCTGTACAAGGACCGCATATCGGCCTACACTAATTTTGGACGCACCTAGAAAATCAGCCGGGAAATCGGCATATTGAAGATTCTACACCATAACAACATTGTACCCTTGTTGGGTATAGCGACAGGATTTGGATCCAGGCCAGAATTGCGCTGCTTAGTTTCTCCGTGGATGCCAAATGGCACATTGAATGCATACCTAATATCTAAGCACAACGATCTAACAGTCTTGGACCGTTCGCGTATGGTGAGTCATTACCATCACATCCTTTCACTCTTCAAGACTAACTCGAAGTTGGAAGATGGAGGATGTCAGCGCTGGACTTCGTTACCGTTAGTTTCCATCTTTTCTCAAAACGTTCAAGTTGTAAGTTACGTTTGATGCAAGTGCACTCGCATTCTGTCGTGCACGGGGATATAACAGGGGTAAATCTAGAGCTGCTGCGTCATTCTTGAAACCTCATGAATATGCAGGCAAATATACTGATCGACGAGGGAGGTCATGCGAGGTTAATCGATTTTGGTCTTTCCACCATTACACAACCCCTTCTTGGCCAGTCGCATTTGGCTGTGACATCTATACATCATGGAGCAATCCCCTATGCTGCGCCAGAACTCATTCTACTAGAAACTACATGTGACCCAGGGTTGGAGGAAAAAATCGATATCTACTCCTTTGGTTGTGTAATGCTTCAAGTGAGTTGATGTTTGGTCACAAATCGTTCCCCTGAGGACTGATTGAACAGATTCTCTCGGGTCGGCCCCCTTGGTCTGAGATTAAAGCTGCAAAGCCGGTGGCACGCATTATTACCCTGATGTCCCGAGGTTGTAGACCGCAGCGTCCAGATGGTCATCCTGAAATAATGGAGTCTGATTGGAACTTCATCCAGAAATGTTTGCAATCCGAACCTGAACTTCGACCTTCAGCAGATAAAGTACTTGATTTTGTCATGCATAGGTTTTCCTCTCCTGGTAAATCCTCATGGTCCGTGGTGTTTTCCAGCCATCGACTGACACGAGCTTCAAGACTCTTGTAGTAAACCGCCTGACGATCATCCCGATAATGCGCCGGATGATTTTCCCGGAACTTCCCCGCACGGTGGTTCCAATGACTCAGATACAGCAGAACAACCACCCGACAGTCCCCCACTCCACCCTGATGATGAACTGAAGACTTTGTTCACGGTCGCAGATACTTTGTCTGCCTCCACCTCGACTGCTCCTGCATTTCCCGTACTGTCTTTTTCTCACCACGACTCGAGCAATGAAGTACCTGAGTCCTCCACTACACCAGGACCTGTAAGTTATCGACCTTCTGACCGTGCTTCACTATGACTAATCGACCCTTGCACAAGGGCCATTCTCACGAAGGAAAGATTCAGTGCAAGTGGAATGGTCCTAACTGGCTATCTTGCGATCACTTGATTCATTACTACGATCTCTCTTCTCACCTACGTGAAGTCCATGGAATGTATGGCCCAGGCGAATTACGCGTCACGTGCATGTGGGATGGTTGTACTGTGCAGCTTAACAAAGAATCCCTCTCGAGGCATGTGGAAAGTATTCATTGTTGACATTCAACATCGACTCTTCTGTATTCCTTTCTTTCGTTTGTCATCACGGACTCTATAGCACGCACCTTATCATTACTTTGTATCACGTTGTTTGTACCTCAGCGCTTCTTTCACCAACGCTGAGGTACAGTTCATGTTTACTTTGCACGCCGCCTTTCACTTACGATGTTTCATCTCTAGACTTGTTCCTTTAGGTACTATGAATGTCAGCGCTTCTTTCACCAACGCTGAGACTTGTTCCTTTAGCTTTCACGTTCCTACAGGTTATGAGCCCTGGCTTAACCCAAAGCCAGACACAGAAACTCTGAACACGCTCACGCGCTGCTTACCGCTCTCATCTTACTCTTCTCCACGACGGTATCGTCATGGGAAAACATGATCACATTCCCGAGCTGCTTGGAACGGAAAATTATGTTGGTTGGGCCACCAAAATGCAATACGCACTCGCCTGCGAAGATCTTTGGTGTCACATCAACACGAAGGCCGAACCAGGGGATCTTCTCGGGCTACCTTCAATTATGCCTGCGCCTGTTGATCCTGTCAACCCCACGACCGCCGAGACGATGGCAATGCGTGAATGGTTGCTCCAGGATATGAAGGCTAAGGAGCTCGTTACTCGGCGGCTCAGTTCCCCGGTATCATCGCTCATTCCCCGCTCGCACACTGTTACAGCACGTAAAGCATGGCAAATCCTACAGGAACACTTCAATCGTACCGACATGAGCGCCCAGTACCTTCTTCGTCAACAAGTACAGGCGCTCCATATGAAAGACTCTGCAGACGCCACGAATTATGTCGCGCAACACGCTGTTTTCCGTGAACGCTTACTTGACGCGGGTGCTCCCTGGGGAGAAACCGACGCAATCTATCATATGCTGATGGGCCTTCCTCATACGCCCATTTGGCAGCAGTTTAAGTCCTTACTCGAGCAACGCATGCACGATGAGTCCATGGCCAGCGCGTCTGCCACTACTACCAACCCCGTTGTACGCACTTTTACCTTTGAAAGTTGTGTGTCTCGCATCACATCTGAAGCTGCAAGACACGTTGTAACGCAGCACGCTCATTCTTCTCGTCCGGGTTCTGAGTACGCTAATGCTGCTACTACTTCCACTGCAAGCGGTACCAACACCATCACTGGACTGCGCATGCACAAGCACAACCCTCAGGGGGTGTTTTGCACCATGCCTGGTTGCAACAAAGGCGATCACGATCATGCGCACTGCTATGGGAAGGGCGGCGGGATGGAAGGACAGGCTCCCTGGATGAAAAATAAGGCGAGGAAAGATGCGGTCTCTGCTGCTGCTGTCACAGTCCCTACACCAGCACGTGCACCTCCCAGTACCATCACACCCGCCATTGCAGCTGCAGGCGTCGCCGGTCTAACGAGCCTCATGGAGAATATGTCTTTTGCGTCCATCGCTGAGGTCCCTGACGAAGTTTCTTGCGTCACTGGCCTCCCCTTCACCACGATTCTTGACTCCGGTACTACACTCACGCTTGTCAAAGACCGTCGATTCTTCCACACCTACTCCTCAGAGAACACCGTGCCCGTGACCACCGCAAACCACGGGATACTCCAAACGACTGGGCGCGGGAGCTGTGTGGTCTGGTGGATGATTGGCGGACGTCGTCTCCGAGTCCGCTTATCGAACTGTCTTCATGCACCGGGGGCACTCCTCAATCTCTTATCGGTTAGTTGCATGAACGCCAAGGGGTGGGACGTTAATTTCCGATCGAACATGACATGTGAGTTAGTGTTTAAGGGAACATCGCTGGGATCCATTCCCGCCACAGGCAAACTGTATGCGCCTGATGTTGAGTTCATCCCATTTGACACCCTTACACCTACACCTGCTCCTGAACCGCTGATTTCTGCATTCGTGCACGTGCCTCTCATGCTGGACCTCTGGCATGCACGCATCGGTCATATTGGCAAGGAAGCGGTCATGCGACTGAGTCGTGTTGCCAAGGGCATCACGCTGGATACCTCTACTCCACTGTCTCACTGCGAATCCTGCATCTTTGCGAAGCATCCGCGTCTACCCTTTCACTCATCTGAGACCGAACGCGCCTCCTTCTTCCTTGAGCTCATCCACGCAGACGTCTGTGGACCCATTCCAACCATCACACCTCACGGAAAACGTTACTTCATGATTTTCCTTGACGATCATACTCACGCACTCGACCTCCAGCTACTCGCATCCAAGGATCAAGCACTGGAGGCATGGCGGACATTACGGGCACGTTGGGAGAACTTGTCCGGGCTACGTGTGAAGGTGTTCCGGTCAGACAACGGGGGGGAATTTTTGAATGACGCTTTTACCAAGGATCTTGAGGAGACCGGAGTCCAACGTCAACGCTCTGCCCCATATGCTCATCAGCAGAATGGTAAAGCAGAGAGGGTGATGCGTACGATCGAAGGTCGTATGTATGCGATGTTGGACTTTGCGTGTCTACCTCCATCGCTGTGGGGTGAGGCAGCACTCACGGCGTGCTACCTGTTCAACCGGACGGAATCGCGGGCACTACCTCCAGGGAAAACACCATACGAGATGTTGCATGGGACTCAACCTAATCTTGGTCACCTTCGCATTTTTGGTGCAAGATGTTTCGCACGCATTCCTCCTGAACTGCAGGATAAGCTTGGACCGCGCTCGAGGGATGCCGTTTTCATGGGGTACCCACCTGGGGTCAAGGCATGGCGATGCCGTGATGCAATCACCGGCGCTTTCTTCAATTCCCGGGACGTCATCTTCGATGAAAGTCTCCTAAATCGACATCGCTCCGACAGCGACGATGATGAGGATATGCCTACCATTCCCGCACCACCAGCACCCTCTTCACCACCTCCTGTCCCGCCTCATGTCAACATCATCCGTCGATCTGGTCGAGTACCTGTCCCCACGGAGAAAGGGCAATCTCTCAAGGAGCGAATCACGAAAGACAAGGCACGACTCATGCGTCAACGCGACCTTCGTGCAGCTCGTGTCACCGGAGTGCCTCCTCCTCATCTCAGCATGGATCCTCCACCTGCGCCCATTGTCCCAGTTCCCACTCACATGCCTGACCCGCCACCTCTCCCTCCCATCGACCCAGACGCTATCCTCCCCGACGATGAAGAAGTCGGCTTTCCCCAGGTCATTGCATCCCTCATCATTGCCGAAGTTGCCTGTCTCTCGGTGCGTAGCGACACGCGTCGCAATCCCCACGCACCCAGGTATGACCTCAAGGTACCTCCCGCGACCTATGATGAGGCAATGCAGCGACCAGACCACGAGCACTGGCTGGCGGCTATGCATAAAGAAATGAACCTGATGTCAGAAATGGAAGTATATGAGCTCGTGCCACTACCTGATGATCGTCGGGCCATCGGATGCCGGTGGGTGTTGGAGTTCAAGGAGGACTTGAAGGGCGGACCTGTTTTCAAGGCGAGGTTAGTGGCACAGGGCTTTTCTCAAATCCCGGGAGTCGACTTCGGTCGCACTTTTGCTCCCGTGGCTAAATCCACCTCCATCCGGGTACTTTCAGCCTACGCTGCAGCCAACGACTGGGAACTTGACTGTTTTGACGCGAGGCGTGCCTTCTTATGGGGGAAACTCCAAGAGGACGTCTACATGCGTCAACCCCCGGGCTTTGAGCGCAATGGTCCTGATGGCCTCCGTCTGGTTGCTCACCTGCTCTCTTCCTTATACGGTCTCAAGCAAGCCGCTTTCGACTGGTACGAACTCCTTCGTGAAGTACTGTCACGTCTTGGTTTCTTGCGTTGCGATGCTGACTACGCCGTTTTCATCTTTGATCGCGTCAATGGCGAGGGGGTGAGAGTAATCTGCATCATCGCATGGCATGTAGACGATGGACTTGCGGGTTCAAACAACCGTATGTTCCTTGACCGGATGAAGGCGCAAATTGCAGAGCGGTTTGGCATCACTGACCTTGGACCCGTGACGAAGTATCTCGGCATTCAGTTCGTTCGGGATCGACAGACCCGTGAGCTATGGATGCATCAAGGAGACTATATTGCGTATCTGCTGGCAGAGCATGGCATGTCAGATTGCAACCCAGTGGCGCTGCCCATGGATCCCTCCTTCCCTTTCGGCCGTCCAACCGATGTGTTTCCCCACGTCGACAATCTTCAGACAGAATATCGCAAGCTCATTGGGGAGCTCCTTTACTTGGCCATGTATACCCGTCCCGATATTGCCCTCACCGTCATGCGGTTGGCGCAACACAACATCCTCGCCGAACCCAAGCATCATGCAGCTGCCAAACACGTCCTTCGATATCTCGCCGGTACAAAGCTCCTCCGTGCGCACTACGGGGGTGCAGGTGTCAATCCAAGCCTGCACGGATTCTCTGACTCTGATTGGGCCTCCTGCCCTGAGGATCGCATATCGATCTCGGGGTATGTCTGGTTCTTCAACGGCGGGCCCATCTCCCACTCCGCTAAGAAGCAGACAACGCAGGCGCTATCGTCAACTGAAGCCGAGTATATGGCGCT